GGAAGCTCAGTCCTCACCTCCTTCTACAGGTGTGCAGTGGAGAGCATCCTGTGCTCCAGCATCAATGTGTGGCATGGAGGCTGCACAGCTGCAGAAAGAAAAGCTTTGCAGAGTGGTGAAGGCTGCACAGAAATCTGTTGGAATCAGTCTCCCCACCATCACAGACATCTACACCTCCAGATGCAGGAAAAGGGCCACCTGCATCATGAAGGACCTCACTCACCCAGCACACACACTTTTTGCCCCACTCCCCTCAGGAAGGAGGTTAAGGAGCATTAAGTGTAGAACCACTAGACTGAGGAACAGCTTCTACCCTGAGGCTGTTAGACTCATGAATCTCTAACTAGAATAATCACTGTGAAAAACCATATCATGTTGCTGCTGATCTGTTTCATGTTGCTGCTGATCTGTTTCAATGTTGATGTGTTCATGCGTGCACATCTGCTCACACAGACTCATGTTCATGTTTGTGCTGATGTTCAATGTTTTATGTTATGAGTGCTTAGTGTATATTTAGTTGATGTTTTCTTAGTTCATATCTTAGATGTTATTACTGTTTTTCTTATACATTTTATTGTTGGATGTAACTGGGACCCTGTGTACATAATTTCGCTCCACCACATGTACCACATGAGGTGCGAATGACAATAAAGAAACTCTGACTCTGACTTTTAGACGAACGACTTGAGGTTTGGTTTTTGGTTTTCCCCTAAATGTTTTTGGAGTCTATGGCGAGACTCAACTGAAGGATTAGCTAGCGCACCCCCCCGAATAGGATTGTTCGGCTTGAGCGTCGTGAGACCAATGTAGATTATGGTACTTAAGGTAGCATTAATCTACATTGACTCTGCAAAGATTGAATTTTAACAAATGAACTGCATGTTGGCATAGTTAAAGTCCTCTTAGTCTCTAACTAAAGTACACACGAAATTCATTCTTGCTGGGGGTGTTCAGAAACAATACCAAAAACCAATTAAACGATGTCTCAACATCGACAAAAATAGTGACTAAGCAACCAGTAAAACAACGTTTCAACATAGACAAAAGTAGTGATTAAGCAACTAGAAAACGACGTTTCGGTGCGTCACTCACTCTGAATGTCAGATTTGATCACGTTATCGCGTCTGGTAACATCACCCTAACTAACGTCACCCCCCTGTGGTCATGGGGGACCACAAACACGGGTGAGGACGTCGCTCCATGAGCAATAGTTAGGATGCCCTTGAGTAGTTTTAGCTGTTTGCGCAGCTGAAAGAGGACTTTAAGGTCTGGATTGGAATCCAGGTTGGCTTTGGACAGAGTGTTTTTCTCTGGGTCAGTCAAGTACAGCATCATCGAGTTTATTGCAGGATCCATCCTCTGAAGTTGGATGATGTCTGGGTCAGTCAGCATGGGTTGTACAGAGACTGTGTTGTCAGCCGGCTTGGCTGTAGCCTGTGCACGTGTGACTGCCATTACCTCAGCTGTAGGTTGTACTGACAGAGTTGCGAGCAGCCCGGAGGGGTCAGAGGACCTCTGAGGGCCGTCCACGGCTCTGTCCTTGATAGCTGGTTTATCTGTCCACGGCGACAGTACAATATCTTCTGTGTGGGATCCTTGGATCTCTACACCTTTAACTACCAATGGTAGGTAGTATCCGGTGGGCTCTGACTGTCTCAGCTCGCAGAGGAGGCTTTCTTGTTCAGTCAGAGTTGGGTTCACCGGTTGGGTGTTTTTGGTTTCACATGCTTTTGAAGGCTTACTTACCGGGACTGTGTTCTCTGCTGAGAGGTCCTCGGTGCCTGCTGTTGGGCAGTCTGTGACTGTCTCAGGAGGCATGAGTATTGGCAGAGGTTTGCTCACTCTGGCCCACATTGTCTGTTCACCATAATCTATAATCGCGTCAAAGCGATTTATAAAATCCTGGCCGATCAAAAATGGGAATGAGTCAACCGGAGACACATGTACCGGGTGGTATAGTGTCATCTCGCCAACCTGCATGTGAACCATAGCTATAGCTGTTAGAGTTGTCCTCGTCTCTGCGAGGCCCTGCAGCCCTATAGCACATTCTATGAGAGGCACTTCCTAGAACTTCTCAGTCAGTCGGTCAAGTTCTCCTGAGTCTTCTGGAGGCTTCGAGTCTCTCTGGCTTCAAGTTCTCTGATGAAGTCTAGTCTTAAACTCCGTCTTCGGAGTCTGTGATGGATTCTTCCACATCTGAGTGGAACCTCTGACAGACTCACTGCTTGCTGTGTATCCACCCGGGAGATGAGCGTGTTTGTTGAACGGAGTAAGCGGCACGACTCCTGATATGGCCAGCCGCTCTTACCAGAGACGCTGAAAGGTAGTGTTGAAATGGACCTCTGTACCGGAGTTGATTTATCTTCTGCAAAGGTAACGAGTCATCACGCAACAAGTGTACCGGAGAGTTGGGCTGGTGTTGAAAGAAGCGTGCTAATTCTGGTAAACAAAATACCTCCCCTTTAAGTGTTTAAACTCTTCATTTCCCATCTTTAAACTCTTCTATTTTGCCAGTAGTCTAGATGCCTTCTTCAAGTCCTATTGTCTTATTAAGTAAAACGTGCCAAGTTTTATTAATCAGAACCAGATCAGCTAATCAAGTGTACAATGTTTTGATGTTAAATTTTGATTCTGTTCAATAAATGACCACATTTATTCTGATGGGTCAAAGGAAATTAACATCTCATGTCACTGATTAAACAATCCACTCACAGTTATCTCGGTTACATGGCAGTAATTTAACTCGAAAAAGAGAGAACCCGTTATATTTAAATATATTGTAGTCAAGGGCAGCTAACCTAGCCCTTAGCACACTACATTTGGTTTATTAGGTTTTGATCGGAGGCCGAGTTCACTACAATATTTTTAAGATAGAAAGGTGATATACAAGTACAGTACATTTAACATTTATCTACATGTATTTTAACATTTATTTTTATCATAAAATTTAATTTTCTTATTTTAAAATGGCTTCTAACCAGCTGGCTAAACACTTAATTTGTGTTTTTCCATTAATCTGTTTTAAAACTATTATGATGTTTGCTTATTGGCGTTAAAAAAAGAGTCCAACTCTGAGCAGCTGAAGTGAACACATTCTTTATTTATTGGTTAGAGTTCAGTCACTGGTCTGCACAGAGCCGAAGAACGTCAGGCCACAAGTTGAATGTTACACTGCTAATGCTAACAAATGGATCGGGGAGTTTACACAGTGGGTCTAAAAACATATCAGTCAGCAAACACACACAACGGTTTGGAAATCTTGGAATGATTTCCTAAGAACTGGACCAACAGTCACATTTGGTTTGTATGTTTTTTATGAATTTCTAGGTATAAACACTAAATGTTTTTATTTTTATGTTTCTTTTAAAACGTGGCAGGCCGGATGAACATGCGGACAGTTTTCAGGCTGTACGTCATTGGTTTATATGTACCCCATACAACTCCATTCTCAGTCTGATAAGGCGTGCTTGTTTTGGGGTCATATGAGCCTTTGTGATAGATCCCGTTGAGGTTAGCCGACTGGCAGCTGTGGTACCACCACCCACCGCCAAACTCCTCCGCACAGTTCCCTCGCCACTCATCGTTGTCCTTATCAAAGGTGCTGAACTTCTTGTTGTTGTGGGATGTGTCCAGTGTCTTTTCAGGCATCACCAGAGCATCCCCGGCATCTCCAATATACCCCGAAACGTGGAGTGGGTATCCTTCCTCCTCTGTACCCACCCTAACTGTGTATTCTGCAGTAACCAAGCCCCCCTCCCAATCCTCCAGCTCCACCTTAAGCATTGTCTCATTCTGATTGGTCAACAGGTGGAGGTTTTGGTTGCCCAACCAAAACTCTCCCTTCCCTTTAGCATCAACCAAGCCGAACCCATTGCGGTACTCAGCCCAGGTGCGGTTGAAGCTGACGGAGCCACTCTCCCTCTGCTGGACTAACAACCACCCTCCCATGATTCCTTCCTGATGGCAATACACCTCCACTGAGGCTGTGGAGGCCGAGCTGCTGGGTTTGATTATAAAGAGGCCATTTGTTTCCCCTTTCAGGTGCTGCTGGTAGGCGTCGACACAATCTGCGAACAGAGAGGGGTACACTGAAGACCGCCAGTTAGCTCGGACCAGCATTGGCTCAGCTGGGTGTAATTTACTGCAGAGATCAAAACAAATACTTCTCCCTAAGAGCATTTTAAAAAATCTAAGATATCTTCCATGTAAAGTGTCCTTGGAGGTCCTGAAAGGCGCTCTTTAAATAAAATTATTATTATTATTTATTATTTATACTCCAATAGACCAATCTTAGTTTGGACCACTGATAAGAGTCATTAGCCTACTTTTTTCTTTAATTTCTGTTGACGTTCTTTGGTAACGTAGTGAGCTAAAATACCTCAACTAATCTAACAAATATGATACAGACTATGAATGTCTACAAACTCAATGGTCAATAAGATAAAGATACTGCCTTCACTTCTGGTCTTGGGTACATAAAGCTAGCTAGATCCTGTTAAAGAAGTCTATCTAGCTGGTCTTTCCCTTTGAGGTTTTGAAGATTTTACTCCAGAGCTGATGTTTTGGTACCTTTTCCTACATAATCATCCTGCCGTTCCACAGTTGAGGTCTTCACACTCCGTGCATGGAAATCAGGAACGTCATCTTCTGCGTTGTCCGTCATGAACCCTCCGAGGTCAAGCCCCGTGCCAAAAGGATTCATGAACCCAGTTTTATGGTCCCCCAACAGGCTTCCCTTAGTGCTGCCCGTCTGGACGGTTTTGGTTTGAATTGAGGAGGATGAGGATGCATGGGTAAGTGTTGGAAATAAGGAGCTCAACCCTCCCTTCGTAAACTCGGTCAGCCCCTGACACTCTGGCCCCCCGCTGAACCCTTCCTCTACCGTTTCTACTGGTCCATCTTTTGTTTGGACCACTTTCCTCTTAATGGTCTTGGTGCAGCCAACGGTTTTGGAGGACGCGTGGCTTATGCTGGGCTGGCCAAGGTCAAAACCTCCAAAGCCAAAATCATCTGGTCCTCCGAGCTCAGTGATGGATTTAGATGAGCCTGAGGAGGGGGAGAATGGAGGGGGGGTAGACGAGGAGTGGGCAGTACCTGGGACCTTAGATATGGTTGCTGGAGAGGAGCTGGAGCCTTCCTCCTCCAAGACCAACTGAACTGTGTTCACCTGAAAATACAAGAAACAAAACGTCAAATTCAAGGAAAAACCTTTTCACTGAAGTGTGATTCAACGTCTCGTGACAGTCGTGAGGCTGCATGATCTCAGATGAAAACAAAGTTTGTTCCTTTATTACCACAAAACAAACACTTTAACTATTCTACAAATTCACAAAACACTATAAAATGACTAGCATCATTTCAGAAAATATTCATTGGATGTACATCTACGAATGAAAAGAGTTAATATGAATCAAGAAGAACTGAATTTACAAACACAATAATGGCTTCAATCATTTTACAGATAATGAGCTAAATTTGGTGTGGTAGTAGCTGAGAGTCATCCCTAACTCGTATTCAGAACTCTGACTGATCAGGTGACTTCTTCGTTTAAAACTTTGGTGTTTAAGGCAAGATACAAAATTCATTCTCTTAAAGAATTATAGTTTATTTTTGTAAATTATGTGAGCCAAATCTAAGCAAAAAAATCTGAAATCCTCCCAAAATGCCATTAACTGGTTTAAGAAAGTTTTTCTTTCACATAATCCTGACATTCTGAGTAAAATACAGAAACCTGGGCTCATTTTTGAATACTTTGGGAGGTGATTTAGATTAAACTAAATGTGAATTTGACCAGATATCTTAGAAACGTTAATTTTAAACGTGGAGGGTTTTGGGTAAAGAGGCTAACATCGGTTTCATCAACGGTTCACTGAGGTAATTTTCCATATGAAGACCTCTGAATGCAACGCCTCTCTCACCAGAGGGAACAAGTCCTCTTTCTGCTGAGCCCCTACATCTTTAGATTTAAAGACTGAGTCCACAACTGCATCCTTCAGTCTTCTGCTCTTCATCACGTACAGCGTCCCGACCGACTCGATGTTCTGGGCTGAGTGAGCCTCCAGCTGATTGATCTGAGGGACATGGAGTCAAAAGTTAAAGAACTCATCCTAAAACACATTTTTCCTAAAGTCAACCCACGTCTGAGTCTTTACCTGCTTATCCAGAGCCACATAGCTCTCCTTGTCCACCTGGTACTCGGTGTGCACGCTGCAAGATCCTTTACAGGAGCGAAGCTTGATGTCGATATCAGTCTGACAGAGGATGAACAAACATTTGGAAGAGAAGTCACTAACCTGCTCCAACAGGTTACCAGGAACATTCTATAATATGTTCATGCTACATTGGCCTTGACAGGTCATCTTGTCTTAATTCACCTAGAAGTTTTGTAAACCTGAAGCTCTGCCCCTCCCTCCCCTCCTACCGAGGAATTCCATTAGACTTTTCAGAGGAGCCCAGCTGAATAACCATTCTGTCATCATTTCAGGACTCTGAATTTGTCTCTGGTCATTCTCTGCACCCCACCCCCCCCCCCCCCCACTCCGCGTAATGTCGGAGTCATTATGTGCTAGTGTGCGAGATTTTTTTTCATTATCACGCTGTTGACCTTCGACCAAAGATTAAGAGCATGTTAGGAATTTTTTTGTCTCAAAACCCTATGTGTCATTTTTCACCACTTTTATTGTCTGTCCAAACAGGTCTCACTTGTAAATGAGTCTTCGAGGTTCAATGTGAATTATCTGTTTAAATAAAGGCTGAATGAATGAATACATTGTGGTTCACGGAATGCTATTTTACGAACCAAAATGTTGCCATCAGTTCCCATAAACAGCTATTTAAATATATTTTTACAATTATTTTCAAACTGATAGCCTCTGCAGCTACTGGCAGTTCCAGGTCCAAAGCAGATTTGAGCATTATAAAATCCTAACTTTGTTTTCTGATGCTAAAGCTAGCTGCTAGCTCACATAAATAATAACATAATTTTATGTAAATTCATTCAATCAACCTTTATTTATTCAGGTTAGCTTCATTGAGTCATGAGGACTCATTTACAAGAGAGACCTATTTTAATTTAAAAAACGTGCTATGTAAATTTGACAATGCTGTGACTGCTTATTGAATAGTACTCGTGTTAACTACTTTAAAAATAACAGTTATCTACTTTGATCTTAGCTGCATTTGGACTAGCTGTTATCTTGTCAATTTAGTTAAAATGTAACTCTTCAGAATTAATTTACTATAATTCAAAGAGCTGTCAACAACAGTTAAGGTTAACTTGTCATTAACTTCACACAGACTCTCCCACTGGTACATTTTCATCTTTAAATCACTTCTTGGTCTGCTGCCTTCATACATCTCCTCCTACATGTCTCTGTGTGAGTGCAGCTACAGCGTGCGCTCTCAGGACATCATTACCTGCAGTGTTCCCTCAGTGAGGACTGAACTAGAGAAAATGACCTTCTCCTACTCCGCTCCTGTTTCCTGGAATATCTTGTAAAAAGATCTGAATCTCTCGACCTTTGACCTCTCTAAGTGGCTTCAAACATCTGTTTGAAGAACTACCATACCATACCACTTTATTTATAAAGCACTTAAAACAGCAACAAGGCCAACCAAAGTGCTGTACAGACAGAACAACAGGTAACACACAAAGCAAAATACAAAATGAGGTCAATCAGAATATAGACATAAAAACGATGCAGATAATGACGACAAACCAGTGTGGAGCATAAAGGATCAAAACACAGATCATCTGGTGTTGAAAGCTACTGAATAGTAGTGGGTTTTTAAACGGGACTTGAAAACCGAGAGGGAGGGGGCCTGTCTGACAAGCAGAGGTAACTCATTCCAGAGTCTTGGTCCTGCTACAGAGAAGGCCCTGTCACCTCTGCGCTTAAGACGAGTTCCTGGAACTGTGAGGAGCAACTGGTCCGCTGACCTCAGGGAACATGGTGGGACATACGGTTGTAGCAGATCAGAGAGATGGGGGGGGGGGGGGGACA